GATGTGTGTGTGTGTGTGTGTGTGTGTGTGTGTTAGAGGACTGGGTATGAAGTACAAATCTAGCGACTGTTGTATTTTTTGTTTGCTTTTGTTTCTTTTGGGTTTGTTTGGTTGTTTGTTTGTTTGTTTGTTGGCTTATTTGTATGTTTGTTTTGGTTTAGTTGTTGTTTGTTTTGTCTTTTAGAAAGCAATGCATTCGACAAAGGTTTAAGGAGTTGCTTTGGGAATATTTTATACAAGGGATAGAATGAGACCATTTAAAGTTTCACTCTACGAGGTGAAAAAAAGATAGTAATTGCCAATGTCATTGTCCTGACTGTTGTCAACAATATTCCTATCCAGAAGCTCAGTAACAGAAGCGAACCACAGCTGAGCGCCAACGAAACGTATTCCATGATTTATACGTAATTCTGCTGCCCTCATTTCGAAAAGTGCAGTAGATCTATATTATATTTTGTGCAGTTTTCACAATATTTTATGAGAAAGCCAAAAAAACTGAGTTGTGTTACTAAAAATACCACATTTACTTTAACGATAATAGAGAAGTTCTTATCAAAGTTGTATTCTTTAAGATATTGACCTGGGATGTTTGCAAAAAAAGCCTGATTTCTAGGTAACAACGGTTTGACATTTTTAAAGCTCTCCTGTAAAATTGTAAACAAAACTGCATATAGATCTAGTATACTTTTCAAAATGACAGCAGATTTTTGTTCTCCAGATTTGCCCCGAAGGAGACGGGGGTGCGAGTGGGCGGGGAGGGGGCGTGAAGGGGAGGGGCGGGGTGGGTTGAGGAGGCGGAGAGATCACGTTCCTGTTATCTTATCTCTGTCAACTGAAGCTAACAAATCGATATCGTGCCAGTTGCTGACGTAATCGGGCAGTTACTTGAAAGGCACGTCTAAATTATTAAAAGCATAAACAATGAGTCGGCACTACTCATATCTCATCTGCGTGATTTTCCTTATAGCGACAACGAATATGGTCTGGTATTTCTGGAAAACTGTGAAATATGATGTGGCACAGTGTCCATTGTGTCCCCCAAACTAAAGCTATACCACGATAGTGGTAGGAGAGTTTGATCGCGGCAGATAGAAATGAGCTGATATGCGCCATGTATGAAAACTAGTTTTTAAAAAAGAAAAAAAAAGAGAGAGACTGAGAGACAGAGAGAGAGACAGAGAGAGAGAGACAGAGAGACAGACAGACAGAGAGAGAGGGAGAGAGAGAGAGAGAGAGAGAGAGAGAGGAGGGGGGTGGACAATACTGGAGAAAGGGTTCAAGAACGTTGTTGTCATAACCAGAGGTTCCCATTCCCATTAGGTGCCGAATGTT